CCCCAAAACCCCAAAACCCCAAAACCCCAAGACAAAATTTACTCAATAATCGTTAAAATTTAATGTTTAAATTATTTATAAAACTCACTCTAAAAATTATCTCTCATATTTAAGCGACAAAGGATGGCTATGAGTGAAGTCATATCTTATTAATTTGAACGGACTAAGGCCCTTACCAGTCTTAGAATCTACATCTCTTTCATAAACAGCGTAAAATGGGCATGGCTAAATGTCTTAATCATCTAATTTCTGCACGCATTCTTTATTTTTTCTAGACTACACCCACTATGAATTTCCAACATTGCACTTAAATGGTACTTGATGCTTTTTATCTGCGAATCGATTAGTAAACGCTTTAGCATGGAAATTAATCATAACACTCTGAAATCTGACCCTTGATTTCAAATAGTTTCTATCTAGAGCGTTTGAGAAGTCGAAATATTTGAGAAAATCAGGCGTAAGAAATATTCTATCGTTTACATTCCCATTTTTAATTCTTAATTTAGTGGTGCATCTTTCATCACGCATAGCTAGTTACACATCAATTGGATAGGAATTTAATGGGATTTTGCAATCATATTCTAAAGTAATTGGCTCCAAATCTTCAACATATATTTTATCTATCAGCCATCTCAGGCCTTTGTCTATATTAATTCTTAGATCCTTTGTTTCTCTTGGATCAAGCACTCTATCTTTATACTTTGGATCGAATTCAAAGGAGTCCACTAAATTGAAGAACTTCTCAAGGCTTTCTAAGATTTATACCACATCCATTGTGTAATTAAGGTTCAAAATATCTCTCCATTTACAATCGTATCTCGTCAATTAGTACTACTACCATGAACTCAACTCAGAATACTGATAAAGATGTTCCTCTTTTTATTAAGAATTTGAGTCCTGAATTGTAACCTCTTCGTCCTTTAGTTGCATCAGAAACTTAAAATATCTAATGAATACATTACACAAGTTTAATTGAGTTAAGAGATAGAGAGTGAAATATATTGCGAATATTCAAATAAGAATTTAATTAATGAATGAGTACAAAATGCTCATACTAGCATTTATAATTGTTGAGATGAATCAAAGAATAAATATCGAGCTCGAAAACGGGGACAGATTTCAGTTTAAATTATTGGAGAATAATGGGATTTGCTGTCTCGTAAGCCAGTAGATCTAACATATAAAAGAGACCTAATACCTTGATTTAAGCGCTGAATTCGTCTTATTTACAGCCCCTCCAGTTTTGTTTATTGCAGAAATTTAATAGCTGTTGTTTAACAATGATGAAATAAATTGAACTCGAAAGTATCAAGCAGGGTATTAATCTTACAATAAATGATCATGAAGAATCTGCATAAGGTAATGGTCAAAGTACTCAGACATTCTCAGTATAAAGCTAAGCAATATACAGGGGCAGGGGAAGAAGACCAAGTGGTGCTCCCAAAAATCATATTGATCCACAAGCTGCATAAAAAGACTATCAATAGCTCTTTAGTAATTGGGATGATGATCAGATGGATATCTTTCAAGTGAATGATGTAAAAAATAATAGAGAATTACTAGCAGCTTTACAACCCATAGCTCAGAAGATTGGGTTCTAAATTAAAGTCACTCAAAATTTAAGCAGACAGGAATTCATTAAACAGATGGAGAAGAGTAACTCAAGTCACCACTTAGCTTTGATATAGGAGGAATTGGAATTTAGGTTTATTAAAATTGAATGTGGATATCCACTCAAAAGCTGTCCATTTTATCTATTATATAAAGTGACGCCAGAGAGAAGTGTTATATTTGCTTGTAGTTTAAATCACTCTCATTCAATGGGCCCAATCCCTCTACCCCCGATTATTGCTCCTTGATTATAATTTAGTTAAATT